AATAAGTGTTTTATTACCTTACCTACTATATAATTAATAAAATTGAAATAAACACACACAAACAATCAATAAAGAGTTTTAACAACTGTTTATTCACATACTTGTCTATTAATTAGCTGAACACATAATATAAAGATTAAATTAATATTTAATAATTTAAAGTAATACTTATAAAATGATTGATTGATTATTTGTGTGTTTAATTTCAATTTAATTAATTATATAGCAGGTAAATAGTGATGTCGTGACCATCAAAACGCTTGAATATCACGATGACGCTTTAAACAGGCAACAGTTCATTCTGTGGCCCAGTCAACAGTTCGTCTGTTTCATGATCACGCAAAAACATAAAAGAAATCGTGAAACAGTTCAAAATGCCTTATTACAATTTATATAGTAGGTTTGGTAATAATCTAGATTGTATCATTCTAGGTTATATAATTCTAGGTTTTATCTCTCTAGTAGGTTTTATCATTCTGGGTTATATAATTGTAGGTCTTATCTTCCTAGGTTATATCAGATGTGTTTGGGGCACCTGTTTTTGTGAGTGATATGCCAAACTCAGCCGGCCTTGGCTCCTGTTACAGAGCTAAACATGGTGAGTCTACTCAGTGTTTACTCAGTAGTGTATAAGTGGACATGAGTACTCAGTAGTGTATACTCAATAGTGAGTACTCAGAGAGTATATATACTTATACTTGTGTAAATTAGGTTTTACTCAGTATTTTTAACTTGAAATAATGTGTACTTAGTAGTGTATGTTGTATATATAGTTAGAAATGTGTACTCAATAATGTATACCCAGTAGTCTATTTTCTCTAGTTTTTAATGTATACGAAGTAGCATTTAATAAAATGTGTATCTGCATCACCGGTAAAACTCAGTTTGCGACCGTTAAATCAGCATTAATGGTCGCAAATACCAAATTAGAAGATAGTTATTCCCTAATTATACAGAAGGAATTGTCTACTAATAATACATGTACTAATCATGCAAACTTCCCATCTCCACCAACATCTATATTTAAATTCAAATGTATATTATAAAAGGAAAAAAGATAAAAATAGATTTTTTCAAAAATTGTATAAAATTTGATTTGATAATTTTTTGTAATCTTAGTAAGGATTTTTAACTTCTGCAAATAGAAAATGAAGAATTAGAACATCTTTCAGCTTGTCAAAATAAACAACCTTATCTTCAGTTGTCTTATTGGTAGTGTATGATTTATTTTACAGGACTTGATGGTTATGATTTCTCAAATGTTGTTAAGAACCACCCCCAGCCAGAGTGTGTGGCAGTCCCGACAGAGGGCGCTAGTGAGGTTTGTATTTAAGGAATGACTCTAATTCTTGGCCAAATTATCGAGTATAATATGGTTTGGGTCATTTTACGCTTTATAACCCGCGAAGCGGATTATAAAAACGCGTAAACTGACCCAAACCATATTATACTCGATAATTTGGCCAAGAATTAGTCATTCCTTATAATTTAATTTTAAAATAAACAACTTTGGATGTAAAATTGTGTTTCTTTTTACGAGTTCAAATTTACCGCACAATAATACAACCGTAGTAACGGAAGTGATGGGAAGCGAGGGGAGGTAATAACTGATTCATAGATCTAGCAACCATGATGCTTGTTTACATGAGGTAAGATCGAACAACTGTTCGAAGTTGAAGGTACATTCATTAAATATAGAATTTTCCATGGATTCCGAGGACTGGAAATAAGGGGATTGCATGGATAAGATGATTAAGCTGGTCGTCAAGGCCAGGGGATGTGTCCCCATACCAAACCAGATTATACAAAATAATTTGTGTTCTTTTTGGAAATTAACCGATGAGAGGCGAGAATACCAACAATATTAAATTATTTAAGGAAATTTAATAGCAACCCATTTTATACGGTATAAACCGGGTTGGGGCAGTTCACGCTTTATAAACCGCGAAGCGGTTTATAAAAAAGCGTAAAATGTTCCAACCCAGTTTATACCGTAAAAATGGGTAGCTTTTAAATTCATTGCTTATTATTTAATTTTCATTCATGTGATGTAAGAAAAAAAGATGATTGTTCTAACAAAATGACTTCAATTTGTACAAAATTTAAATGTAACGTCACACGGATTGATACGTTTTTGACAAAAGTCATTATGACATAGGCAACCCATTTTATACAGTATAAGTAATTTTTTTATCCAGTCATATACAGCGTTACAGCCAGAATTAAATTATAATGAATTAAAATAGTTATACTCCCAACAATAGTTAACCCCCCTGAAAACAAAATACAGTAAAACTTGGTTATAACGAAATCACTGAGACATGTGAAATTACTTTGCTAAATCCGTAATTTGTTATGTCAGTTTAAGGAATACGTTAAACTTATGGATCCAAGATAACTTTGTATATCTGTGAATTCACACTATCTGTGTTCGTATTAAATGAGATTTACTGTATAAGGAATACATTTCTGTAAATATTGTATGTGTTATTAAATAAGCAAGCTTTATATTCTTGTGGCTTTGGCATGAACATTGATATGCTAGTTTATGAATACTGCTAAGAAATCATATATAAATCAATATATATGTTGCAGAATTGTGTAACATGTTTTGAATATGCCGATTCATGTACAGGTACTCAAAACAAACTTATTAGAAATAGTACATTACATATCATTTGAATACATGCACCTATTAATATGTTGGGCATAGGCGTCGGAACCGCGGAGTGGGGGGGGGGAGTTAGCCCCCCCCCCTACTTTCTTTGCAAAGATAGACATAATATAGGCATTGAAAATTAGGTTTACTTTTTTTTGGTGTTAAGCCCCCCCCCCCCCCACTTTCAAATTGCTTCCAACGCCTATGTTTTGGGAATCTTTGTTACTGAGTATGAACACTGTCTCCTAGAAACCATTCTATACTTCATGACTTAAATTGTGTTTCTATCTTTTAGGTCTATAAGGAAATGAGTTTGAGGTACAGGAAATTAGAGCGAGAAGTGGCCAACCAACAGTAGCAGAGAGATGTGTAGGATTAATTAGTCTGTTCATTAATTATGGTAGCTGAATCGCCTTTTATTTACATTTGGTGCTATCTCCTTCTTGTATAATTTAAATCATTGTTATGCGATTGTGATGGATCACTTCATTGTGAATGTTAAATCAATTATGTACCAATAGCTCATCCTATGATGGACAATAAATTGATTGTACACTTTTCAAGAATACCAGTTCAATGTATAGTTCATGAATCCTACAGAATTGGGGTTTTATTTTTTAAAAACAACAGGAGCTTCATGCACATAGTTCTTTTAATGAATATTTTTATAGTAAAATGATTATGTCTGGAAACGGGCCTTCATGCACCCTACTCCGTGATGTGATGTGCCTGCTGTCATCATTTCCTCGTGACTGTGAGCTAACCTACAACATCACTTTTTGAGATTTCAGTTCCTTTGTTAAGAGTTTGCTATGTTTTTAAGATCGTTACAATGACCTTGTAAGCAAATATAACCTATCTTAAGATATTTTGTCTGATGCTTTTATTAGCTCTATCGGTCAGATACCAGGAAAGCTTATGCGATGGTTAAGTGTCCATCTTCTGTCCTTTTTCAATCTGTAAACTTTTTTTTTCAAAATTCTAGTCCTTCTGTTTTACTTTTGACTATAATAAGCCCCAAATATTTTTTTTAAATTGATCAAAGCACTGAGGCAATGAGAGCTTAATAATCAGACACTAAGCAAATTAAAAGTGTGTATAAATGGGGAGGACATAACAAGTAAAAATAAAAATTACCAAAAACTTCGACAAAATTTAACATACTAGTAAGTCGGATTGGAGATGGGCATTCTACATGTATTTTCAACAGAAAAAAAATGAATACAGTGACATGGAATGGTTCGATCTTACTGCAAGGGAAAGTGGATGGGGTGAAGACTGCACTTTAAAACTAGTTTTAATTATACATGTAAATGTGAATGATAAAATTGTCATGCAGTAAAAAAAAACCCGAAATATTATTTTAACCAAACAGAGAAAGACTTTCTACAAACGATGGATCGAGACACTAAAAAATGTTGTACAGTTTATTTTCTGTTCACACGGATGCATGCTATGGAAACGGTGTTTACTTCTAATTCTTTTTAATATATTGAGATAATTAATCAATCAAGATTTACATAAAATGACGACTGATACAAATTCAGGCACAGAATTTTAATAAAATACGTTGTAACGGGGAAGGGGTGGGGGTCGAACAGTTGAAATTATTCACTGAATATTCAAATCAGCATGGTTATTTATTAACGAAATTTTTTTTTTGACAATGTGGGAAAAGTTTGAATCAATTAAATGCGTGTGTTTTGTTTCTAGTACAAAAGGTTAACAATATCATAATAAACCATGCAACTTAATCAGCAGATTTTGAATGAAGAAATTATAATTAAAGCCTTATTAGCTAGCTGCTTATCGATGCTGAAAATGCAAATTGTATTTTGATTTATTTGTTTATAATTACATCCTCAACTTTTCATTGATATTTCCCCCCATTATATAATCGGATGTATAAAACAATCTTATCTTTATTGAATAAAAAACATGAAAAAGGGGAAAGGAAAGGATAGAAAGAAAAACGGTAATAAAAAATTCTTGAGCTAAGTAATCACTGTGTTTAATAATCCTGACCAATCTCTACCGTCTATAATATACCGGCGTCAAAGTGAAATTTTGCGCTTTAATGACTGATAAGTAATTCAACAAACCTGTTTGCATAAAGCTTGTTAATGATGGGCCTAGTTTTTTTTTCTGAATTAAAACAATCAATGGAAATTGAATTCTGTTCTTAGCACATAGATAATTCAATTTTTTTTTTTTTTTTTTATTTACAATAAAAACATTAATCATCTCGTGTGTATATAAACCATGATAAATTAAATATCCAAAAATGTCAGATTTATAATAAATGCGGATGTTTCCTAAAGTTGAATTTATTTAAACCTAGAGAATCTAGAAACCATGTTCCTGAAAAGTTTTGAATAAATTATGTGCACAGGTAAAAAAGAAATCGCTAAAAATCCAAAATCTGGGACCGTCGGGAGTCGGGAAGACTAGATTTACCGCTTGCCCCCGGGATTTCAGGGACAGCCTAATCGTAGAATGACCCAGTTTTCAGCCTCGGCAGATAACGATGGACGCTGGTCAAGATCGCTTGTTTCTGGGATTTGATTTTAGCACACAACAAGTAGGTGAATGCATTTTATTATATAGCTGCATTTAAACCACTTGTCACTTGACCAAAGTTCTACTTTTGTAAACAAATTATAAGATCTTGATCCCGATCTAAATATGAAAAAAACTGTTAGGCGGATCTATGGGGAATTATGATGATGCTTTTGTATGTTTTTAAGAATATATCCTCTTTTTAATCAAATTAATGACACAAGAAGGTATAATTTTCCTTTTTTACAGATTAAGGCAGAAGCAATTAATGACTCTCTGCAACTTGTGAATGAAACAGCAGTCAAGTTTGACTCGGATCTTCCAGAATTCAAGTAAAAATGAGAATGTTTATATTGAATAACTTTTTCTCTTCCCTGGCAGATACTACTTTAACTATAAGTGTGTCAAACATTGTTATCTACAGTCAAACATTATTATTTAGAACTCAAGGAAACAATGGCAATGAAACTATTAAATTTTCAGAAAATTAATGATGATGAGTTTGAAATTTAAATTAAAACATGAAAATATTTTATAGAATGTATGGAATATTGTTTTAGAACTCATGAAGGGGTGCACATCCACAATGATAATGTCACAGTTACTGCCCCTGCTATCATGTGGGTCAAGGTAAGGTTACCTGTCATTTAAAGGACCTTAAGTTCCATGGTAGCCTATATGTTAACCTAATATTAATTTTAGGACCACTATACCATTTTATACTAATAAAATATTTTTCCCCAAACACTATTTATTATATAATAAAAATATTTCCAATGTTCCTAAAAATAGAAAACATTAAATAAATGAAAAATATATCTCATTTCTGTATTTAGGTAAATTTTTGACATCCAGATTTTAAAATATTAGGAACAAGTTATCCAATAATTGAGAAATGGTTTAATTTAGTTATTTGCATGGTATGTTCTGTATAATAAATACTGTTTCAGGGTTTCATGTTTTTCTATATAAGTTAATTTCTTTTAAAAAGCTCAGAATGTAGTCACGAAATTACTTAAATGATTTGGTTAAAAGAGTAGGAATGTTTTCTGCAAATGTACATCCTGTACAAGTTGGTATATTATGCATTCTTTTGACAGGCATTTGACTTGTTGCTTGATAGAATGAAGAAGAATGGTTTTCCCTTTCACAAAGTGGCGTGCATTTCAGGAGGAGGGCAGGTGTGACATCTTCTACATGTACATGAATATCTTATCCAAAAATTGTATCTTGATATTAATTCCTTAATTATTGAAGTTTTGAATTATAATTCCTTCACAATTTTGGGAATTGTTAAAGTTAATTAATTATCATTGATTTAACAATTATTGAAATAGGGGAAATAAATAAGAATAAAACAGGTGTTTAATTGCAATGCGAAATGCAATAACAATGCGAAATGTAATAAACCTGGATTATTACATTTTGTGTCATTACATTTTGCATCGAGATCAACACAAAAATGTAGTAATGCAGAATGTAATAATACGGCGCCGCTGGAGGGCCAGGTAAAAAAATATTTTTATTTGTTCGGACAAATTAGAAATTCGTTCGGACGAATTAGTTATTTGTTCGGACGAATTAGTTATTTGTTCGGACGAATTAGATATTTGTTCGGACAAATAAGTTATTTGTTCGGACAAATTAGATATTTGTTTGGACGAATTAGATATTCGTTCGGACAAATTAGAATTTCGTTCGGACGAATTAGTTATTTGTTCGGACGAATTAGATATTCGTTCGGACGAATTAGTTATTTGTTCGGACGAATTAGATATTCGTTCGGACAAATTAGAAATTCGTTCGGACGAATTAGAAATTTGTTCGGACAAATGAGTTATTTGTTCGGACAAATTAGATATTTGTTCGGACAAATTAGAAATTCGTTTGGACAAATAAGTTATTTGTACGGACGAATTAGAAATTCGTTCGGACGAATTAGTTATTTGTTCGGACAAATTAGAGAAATTGTGAACAACTGTCAGGACACCGCTAATAATGTGCGGTTTGCACCAAGACGTTTCATTTTATTTTGATTCTTTGCAAAATAACTTTAATGAACAACATTATCAATAAATATTTTGAAGATAAGTCGTTTTAATGTTGATCTCTTTCTTATGATTTTTATGTACATATTCACTACCGTGCAGTTATTAATCATGACATGTGAATGATTTTTGAAATACATTTCTGATACATATGTCGCCGATTTGTAGCTGAAATATTGCCGATTCGGCGTAAAACATTCAATCAATCAATCTGGTACATATGCGGTGTATAAAATGATTCAAAGGTCCTCATTGAGTTTTTAATTAAATATTCCTGTTTGTGAATTTAGAAAACTTCACAAAAATGAACCTGTTCGTATTGATCCCAGGTTGTTCATATGACTCGCGAGCCGGTGAATTACGAGGTCAACCGAACAATCTGGTATATTCCCTAGTCCATTGATTTTCAGAGCATAATTATAGTCCCCTCCCGTTATTGGAAAGGTACATGTGGTCGAACAAACTATTTAATTTCACTTTCAGCATTTCTTAATTTTGTTTATACGCTTTTAAAGTTGAGTACCAGTTCGAAGGTTTGATAGGCCAATGACTCACATAGAAAGGGAAATTATGAAAGCAACCCCTTTTACGGGGAAAATAAATCATGAATGAATGTCAAAATATTTTCAAGTAACAATCCCCCCCCCCCTCCTCTATTTAAAAAACGATCGATTGTCTTAATCATTGAGAACCTTAACTTGCATTAAATAATGATGTGTTTTTAAATTTTACTGCACTTTCTAGGAACGTACATGTATTCATCTATTTTTATCCTTTTCCCGGAAAGGGGCGTTTGTTTAATTTGGTCAAAATTATACCTGCATGTTTTAATTCATGCGCTTTTTTGATATTTAAATATAAAATAAAATTTATATAGATACTTAATAATAGTTTTTAACGATCTTAGAAAAAATCCATTGGAGATGGACTTATGAGATTCCCTATTTTTGTTCCTTGATCACAAAATACTTAAATGTGGGAACAGCGGTATAGAAGCAAATCTACAAATGTCCTAGCTAGTAAGCCCCACCTTAAAAAGATTAAGACCCTCGAATAAGAGGCTCGATATTTTGAGTCCGAAGTTTATTCAATATAATATAATGCAGCCACGTAGCATCGTTTTTGAAAGGGGGGCTGAGAAAAAAATAGCTACCTGAAAAGTTGACAAGCAAAAAAAAAAAAAAGGGGGTGACTCAGGAAAAGTTGCCCAAAGTTGACAGTCCTATTTAGTGGGGTGGGGGTGGGGGGGCTTACTTTTTCAATGCCAATTTTTTCCCGTACCAATTGCCTGCAGTAGGAGTAAAACCTTACATGTAAGGAGTGGATCTCATCTTTTCAAAGAAGCGGTAACTGACCACTGGCACCCCAGTATTAGTCAGGGATGGGAGTGAAAAGATGTTTGATAAGAAGTAATTGACCCTTTGAATTTACTAGTGGGCTCTCAGAAAATATACTTTCAGAATGGCAGAATTTAGGCCTATAATATATACCGGTATAGATCCATTATTTCCGAATATTTACAATCAACATACCCGACTTTAATATCACATGTCTAGTTGCTGCGTGTGTATGTCATGGTCCAAAGAACTATTTATGAATTAAAAAAGGATTAATCCTCCTGAATAGACAAAGTGTGTATCTCTCTTTACAGGATAATTTGTGCTAACATCTAATTTGCCCGAACAAATATCTAATTTGTCCGAACGAATTTCCAATTTGTCCGAACAAATATCTAATTTGTCCGAACAAATAACTTATTTGTCCGAACGAATATCTAATTCGTCCGAACAAATAACTAATTCGTCCAAACGAATATCTAATTCGTCCGAACAAATAACTAATTCGTCCGAACGAATTTCTAATTTGTCCGAACGAAAATCTAATTTGTCCGAACAAATAACTTATTTGTCCGAACGAATTTCTAATTTGTCCGAACGAATTTCTAATTCGTCCGAACAAATAACTAATTCGTCCGAACGAATTTCTAATTTGTCCGAACAAATAAAAATATTTTTTTACCTGGCCCTCCAGCGGCGCCGTATAATAATAAGATTTTTGGATTATTACATTTTGCGTTGATACGTTTTGCATTGAGATTAAGCAACAGGGAAGAACGCAACATGTAATAACACACTTTGTCAGTCGATGGGTCTTACAATATCGGAGAATCATGACCAAAAAAGGTCATGGTGATCTACTTCTGACATTTTATGGCTATATTAAAGTATCTCAATTACTAATTGGCTTAGAATCGTCAAACTTTGTCAGTTGATCCACCTTGGGTTTTCGGGGAATGTCTACCAAAAAGTAGGTCATGGTGACCTATTGAGATATCTCAACTAGTCTTCTTATTGGTTTAGAATCATCAATCTTTGTCAATTAATGCTTCTTGAGTCCTCAGAAAATTTCAACCAAAAAGTAGGTCACCGTGATCTACTTATGGTATTTTATAGCTATATTGAAATATCTTCAGTCCTAACTGGCTTAGTATCATCAAACTTTGTCAGTTGATGCTTCTTGGGTCCTTGGATACTTAGAGTTTGAGGCTTCAAATAGAGTTGATAGATTGTACAATTTATCAGATGATCGATTCAAAATGTAATAACGCAAAATATAATAATCCAGGTCTATTACGCTTGGCGTTGTTATTACATTTTGCGTTATAACTGTACATATATAATTAAAGCAATATGAGCTGCAAATTTTCAGAATTTTTGCTACAGAGTTGTAAATAACTATTTCCATGACAGAAGAGGAAAAAAATGTTTATATACTTCTGTTCTTCATATTTGCTAAGTAAGAACTATTTATAGGCTTTGATTGAATCCAAATTACATTATTGTCATTCTGTACAAAAATGATTTTTTATATAATATTGTATATTGGATTGTATAGAAGTCTTTCTTCTGAAACAATTTAATGTCTTTTAGTCTAATTAAAGCAAAATAAAATTTTCAAAAATGCAGCTTATATTGCTTTATATTCATATATAGTACCTATTGTAATTAATATTCATATGTAGTACCTTTTCCCTGCAGCAAACTGGTAGTGTATACTGGAAAAAATGTACAAACCAAATCTTAAGAAATCTTGATGACAAAAAACAACTACATGAACAACTACAGGTAAAATAAAACAATTTCCCTCCCGAGTCTTACCCCAGGGCTAATTCAAACAGGGTTGGGGTCAATTACTTTTAGATGTAATTAAATTCATGAACTTCCAAATACATAGATAATTTTGTCAATGACTGACAATTACAATTGCATTGATTTTTTTCAAATATAATTAATTACTCTCAACTACCTAGACAAATGTAATTAGATACATTTCAAATACTTCAGTTTTATTTTTAAAAAATCTCAAAACATTTTCACAAAACATATACAAGTATATACAGGCATTTAGTACTGAAATTAGTGTTTCTACATTTCTGAGTTCATTTTATTCATGATTTGATTTCCACAGTATCACTCATACAACATCCATCGTTCTGATCTATCGTTCTGAAGATTTTTAAAGTCAACTCATCTAGTGTACTCTTGAATTCTTTTTTTGGTTCTGAACAAGATGTTTATATACTGAACTTTTATTCAGTATTTTTGTTCCTGTGTATGAGGGGGGTGGAGGGGTGGTTCACACATGAAGAATCTTTACACATTGCCCTGGGCAGCATGTGTTGCTGTATAAACAAATGGGTACTCAAACAAACTAAACAATATGAGACATTTCATTATTGCATAAACACAAGCTCATGGAGACTATGCATCATAAACAGACACCTTACTTAACTTTTAGCTTGAAAAAAGTAATTGAAATGTACTTGAAAAGTAATTGAAAGTTGTAACATTATATTTTTTAAAATGTAATTAAATACATTCAATTACTTGTAATTGAAAGCAGGTTAAATTACAATTTACTTCCAATTACTTTGAAAAATGTAATTAATTACACTCAATTACAATTACTTTTTTTCAATTACCACATCCTTGAATTCAAAAATAAATAGCAAATGATTTTTAAAGGATGGCTTCTTTTACACAAGAAATTTTTTTTCATTCTAACAGGACTGTTTTTCGATCTCTGATTCTCCAGTATGGATGGATGCCAGCACAACAAAGAATTGCCTCGAACTGGAAGAAAAAATAGGTGGTCCATTGGTACGATATCTTATTCTTTTGACAGGATGAAATCTTTTTGAAGGATAATCTGAATTATGATGAAAAAAGTTTTACTTTTGTAGAAACTAGCAGAAATAACTGGTTCTCGTGCTTTTGAGAGGTTTACAGGGCCCCAGATTACGAAGATTTCTCAGACAAGACCATCGGAGTACAGTGATACAGAGGTACAATTTTACCTCCGCTGCTCTCAAAAGCATTGTTTTTCTGCCCATCTGTTAAATGTATAAACTTGGTCTACATTATTGTTACAGAGGATTTCATTGGTCAGTAGTTTTGCAGCATCCCTTTTGATTGGAGATTATGCTCCAATAGATTTGAGTGATGGATCTGGAATGAACCTTTTGGATATTAGAACTAAGAAGTGGTCACCAGAATGTCTTCTGGTAAGTCCTTAGCCCCGTCCTTTTTTTTTTAAATATCCCATCTCCATTTTAATTAATTGCGTACATGCTGAACACCAATCAAGATTTGCTAATTTTAATTTTTTTTCTCTTTCTTTGCAGTCTTACATAGAGGCTGACTTGTTTATTTTCTCAGATTAAATTTTGCAGCCCCTCTCTTCCCTGATCACAGGGGGTTTGGATGAAAAAAAGTGTAACAAATTTCATTCACATAAAGATATGACGGGTGGGATAATTGGCATGAAAATGATTTACTAATTTATTCTATTTCCTTGGTATTAAAGGCTTGTGGATCCAACTTGAGTCAGAAGCTGGGAGAACCAGTGCCATCCAAACAAGTCATTGTAAGTTTTACAGGTCATCATTCAAACAAGTCATTGTAAGTTTTACAGACCATCATCCCAACAAGTCATTGTAAGTTTTACAGACCATCATCCCAACAAGTCATTGTAAGTTTTACAGGTCATCATCTCAAATAAGTCATTGTAAGTTTTACAGACCATCATCCAAACAAGTCATTGTAAGTTATAAAGGCCATCATCCAAACAAGTCATTGTAAGTTATAAAGGCCATCATCCAAACAAGTCATTGTAAGTTTTACAGGTCATCATCCAAACAAGTCATTGTAAGTTTTACAGGTCATAGCTTCTAGATAATTTACATAGCTTCATCAAATTTTTGCCTCATATTTTGTATAACTAAGGACGAAGATTGTGGTGTATAAATTTTTCAATCTATTTGTACTGGACTTTGTTTGTCTTTGATAGGGAAACGTGAGCCGCTTTCTCATCGGTCGATATAACTTTTGTCCTAATTGCAAGGTTGTGGCTTTTACCGGAGATAACCCAGGTATTTCAGTGAAGATTAGAAAAGTTAGCATTCTAAAATAATATTTTTATATTTGATATATGTTCTACAACTTGGAAAATATTGTTTTTAATATGAACTTTATATTTTTGGGGGAATTTTCATAGATATTTAAGGACTAGGAATAAGCCCTCTTATTTTTATCTTGAATAAAAAACACAAAAACAAACATCCTTCTTTTTGTTAAAACTGAAGTGAAAACTTTCAGGTTCTTCATCATTTTTTTATCATCTTTTTGTCATCCTTCTGGCTTTTGGTAACTTGCATAAAGTTTTGCTTTTTCACATATTTATTTTCAAAAGAAATCAAATTTATATTAATACCCATATGATGCACACATGCATTTTCAGCAGAGCATTTGGGCAAAGGTCGTCAGAAATGACTATTTAGTAACTTGATATTAATTTTGTATAAAGGAATGATTGTTTTTAGAAAGAGATAGCCTTCTAATCATAGGGTGAATGAGCCTTAACTGCAAGTGCATTATCAAATCTACAAAATGCTTTGTTATATTTTCTATAGCTTCCCTGGCAGGAGTGGCACCTAAACTAGGTGATGCAATTGTAAGTACTAAGCAATGGTATAAATGTTTGGTTACTGATAACAATACATGTATCTTCCAAAAAAGTCTTTTATTAGCTCTGACATTTGAGCCAGAGGCTATAATATTGTGATTGAGATTTGACTCTTAGCTTTCTTGGTTATATTGTTGACGACCGGTCACGGTAGCCTAGTGGTAGAGCGTTCGCTTCGTGATCGGGAGGCCCGGGTTCGATTCTCGATCGCGGCGCCGCGTCATACCTAAGACGTAAACAAAGGTAGTGACTGTTCCTTCGCCAAGCGCTCGGCACTAGAAGTGAAAGTCACGGGTCTTTCGGATATGACCTTAAAAACGTAGGTCCCGTGTCACGGTAGGCGTCGGCACGATAAAGAACCCTCACTGCTCAATGGCCCTGAGTGCCGAGTATAGGTCTAAATTTGAAGCCCTTCACCGGCATCGGTGACGTCTCCATATGAGTGAAAAATTCTCAAGAGGGACGTTAAACAATATACAATCAATCAATATATTGTTGACGTAGTTGCTGAACTTAATTTTTACTATTTCATCTTCTTTCAAGAACCACTTAATGCCTAGTTTCAACCAAACTTGCTGACAGAACATCTTTAGGTGAAGAGGATTTGAACTTGTTTAAATTTTTTTCAATTAGGGGAGCGATTTCAGAGATAGTAAAAACTGAAGGCATTTAAAAAAAATTATTCTCAAGAGCCATGAAATAAAAAAAATATGAATTTCAAACTTAATTCAAAATTTATGAAGTAAAAATTAAAGAGGGTCCTTATATAGCTGTCCCTGTTCTTAGTACATTTTCTATTTTCAAATCACAGATTCTTTTTTTCTGCTCCTTTGGATAAAAAAAATGTTTTAGATTTTTTTTATTATAGTTGTAGTTCGTTTGTGACAATACATATTATTTTAAAGATAAGTCTGGGGTCCAGTGATACAGTATTTTCCTGGCTACCAAGTCGGACCATGGAACTGGATGGACACATCTTTGTTAACCCGATCGACTCGGATACGTATATGTCTCTAGTCTGGTAGGTGGTTTTTATTATTTTGGAGGGTTGTTTCTTGACTGGAAAATAATTTTTTGAAATGCAAAGATCAACAGAGAGTTCAGTAGTAAGACATTTAAAATTATATTGAATTTTGAAGAAAAAAAATGATTTGTCAGCTGTTAGTACCTTTACTTTTTATTCATAAAAATATTTTTTTTATTTTATCACTTTTCATGCAGTATGTCACAAACTTTTTCCAATAATACAAGTTTACTTTTTATGAATTAAAAAAAAGTTGTCTATTAAAGACGTACAACACACTGTGGGAGATAACTCTTGCGATTTTAATTGAACGTTTGACGTGACGTCAAATTTAACGTCAAAAATAAAGCGTCAAAATGACGAGTAAAACGATCCCGATGTACATATCAATCATAAAAGAAAAATGGGATATGGGGCTTGGCTGTGATTATGCGTACCATACTCAATCAATAAGTATTTCTTTTTATTAACCCGATTAAACTCCGTAAAAAGCAAGACATAAAATGCCATCCCTAAATGTTTATTTCATTTCATTTCATTTCATATACATTGAATTGTAATCAAAGCGCAGCATTTTTTTTATTCTGAAAATTTTATTTTACATTGCCGAAATTCTCATTATGTACAGTTGGCTATATAACATTCGGATTAATGGTCTTCATTACAATTTGTGCATATACGATATAAATATTGTTTTTCATCTTTGATTAAATAAAACAACAATAAACAAACAAAAAACTTTTTACAATGTAAAATCGATGTTGTTCTTAGACCCTTACAGATCAAAGAGGAAGGAACAACTTTGAAAATGTAGGAGATGTTTTTTTCCTCCCTTTATTCACGGTTTTCCACCGAATCAGATACATCTACCGCAAGACCTGATAATTTCATAAATCCGAGAATTGAATACTATAGACCTCATTTACACAATGTAAGTATAGAATTGAAAAGAATTATTCACTAGTACTGAAATTATCTGAATTTATGAATACTAGTATCCTATTGCAGCAAATCGTTTGACTTTCTGTCAACAATGTCGGTTCGCATTTCCTCGAATCAAAACAAAGCGTAGCCTATAAGATTTTTAAAAAATATCAATGTGCGATTTGATATAAATTGAAATAGATGAAGAGTTTAATGTTTGATATTTTGAAGTTAATGTGGACGAATACGGAATTTTCATTTTAACTTTAGAAGCAACGACATTGATTGATTGATTGTATATTGTTTAACGTCCCTCTCGAGAATTTTTCACTCATATGGAGACGTCACCGTATGCCGTTGAAGGGCCTCAAATTTTGACCTTTACTCGGCACTCAGGGCCATTGAGCAGTGAGGGATCTTTATCGTGCCAACGCCTGCCGCTGACACGGGGCCTCGGTTTTTAAGGTCTCATCCGAAGGACCCGCAACTTTCACTGCAAAGTGCCGAGCGCATGGCGAAGGAACAGTTGCTACCCATTTTAACGACTAGGTCAGTCGCGGCCGAGATACGAACTAACGACCTCCCAATCACGGAGCGAGCGCTCTACACAACGACATTGAAAGAATGCGTACAATATCATGAGGGGTGTACATCTATGCAAATGTCGATGTATCCCCACGGCCACATACTGTCTCGTTTGAAATAATGACATGAAAGAAACTACAATTATTCCATTTATATCACAGGAGAGTTGTTAATTTACCATTTTTTAATAAATAAAATTAAAGAAATAAAATTAAAAATCAACATATTCAAGTTCAACATAACTTGAATTCGTATCCAGGTTTCATGTGATATGGAATGCACAACGCATACATATATGGACTAAACACTGAAATCCTTCAGTAATTCTTTCCTGATACATATAAAACCAGCTGTCAATATTTATTCTGCATTCATGAATTTAAAAACTGATGCATACCTCCGGGATTCAAATGACGAAATACTAGTATATTTGGACTGTAAACGACGTTTCGTCAAACGCTTAATGGTCTGCGACGCAAAAAAGGAAGGGATGGGGGTGGTAGGGGTATTCAAAAATTGCCTAAAAATCTACACTTAAATACGATTTACATTTAAGAACTTTTAAATTCGTAAGTTTATATAATTTTGAAGCAAAAGCAATATTCCAAATTGATTTTTTTAAATGTGTATATGTAGATTCATAGCAAAGTGATCGACCCCCGTCTGAAAGACGCGCAGGAACGTGATTTATTGAGAAAGGAGGAGGGGGTAATTTTCCGCTATTAAATCAAAACTGGTCGTACAAAAATTATATTAAAAATTATGAAGATTATTTTTACTACCAGCTACCTAAAGAAAGTTTTTTACCAAAATTAAACGACAGGTTTTTTCACAAAAAAAAATTTGAATTTGAAAAATACACAATTTTCAAGGCTTAGATAATTCATAGTTTTTCAGTTAAAAGTCTTTAAAAAATTGTTTTGATGATATGTATATGAAAAAGATGACTATGTTTTTGTGTTAAATGGTTAAAGGAATAAGTCAATGAAATTTGACATTTATATCCAACCTGACTTTTTGAAAATCAAGGTTTAAGTAGTTCATTGATTAAAAATTTTCTCTCCTTGTAAACAACTAAAGGGGGGTAACTTTTGGAAGTTCCTGTCCAAAAACCACTCTCGAACGATTTTGTCCAAAATGTGCATACATGCAGTAGATATAGTTATGTACTAAATACACAAAAATAACGGAAATTAAACGACAGGAATTTTTGGGGGAAGGTATGTTGTACATCCTTAACAGACCATAGAATTTCTTTTCTAGCTTTAAGAATGGTTCTCTTACAAGGGAGAGAATCAAAGATGAATGTGCTGAAGGATCATGGGATAAATTTTCAGAATACTTGAAAAACACACCAATGAGAAATAATGGAAATATAGGTAAAAATATTTCTTTAACAAAGATAAGAAAGCACCTCTGAGAGTTTTTATAAAAATAGAGGTTTGGCAATGCTAAGGCCTTGATAAAAGCATTGTTTTCTTTAACAAACATAAGAAAGCACATTTGAGAGTTTTCACAAAAATAGAGGTTCAGCAATGCTACATGTTAGGCCTTGATAAAAGTATTGTTTCTGGAAAATCCCAGCGTACTTTTGAATCCTGATTATATGTTTTTTATGAAATGAATCTGATCGATGTACTTTATGCAGGAATATATTTTGATGTGATGGAGATACAGCCATTATCACAGGGAATTTTCCGGTTCAACAAATTAAATGAAAAGGTACGTAATGAGGAATTTAAAAACAACATCTGAATATTTAATTTATTAAAATGAAGCTTTTTACTTTTTACCACAAAACCTGGACATGCTTGTACATGTAATTTTATCCCCTCCCACTATCCCTTAATTTCTCCAAACTTATTTTTAAAAAAGTTTGTTTCTGGTAAAGTTTTGAAGATGTCTTACCAGATATTGGTTTTACTTTAAGCAATTAAAGGCTTTTTGAGATGAACTATAATGCCTTACTTAAAAATTAACAGGTTTCAAGATATCTATTAGTGCAAGCTTTGTTTAATGTTTTATAATTTTTATTTAAATATACATGTACCTCAATATTAATTCAGAATTTTTTTGTAACACTTGATTCCAGTTTAAGATATGAAAAATGCTTGCTAGGGATCAGGATTTGAAAAAAAAAATGGGAAAAATTCTTTTTTTTTAGTTAATTACATGTAATATTGTAAGAATCTTTGTCGTAAATTAATAGGTGGCCTCCTTCCCACCAGAAGTAGAAGTTCGAGCTGTGATAGAAAGCCAGATGATTGCTCGTAAAATGTACATGGAAATGAGAGGAATGCACACAGGTAGGATGTATAACGATAACACGTTTTATGTTAACAATAAGAGCTTTAGGACTAGCACAGTTGTATAATATGTGAAGGACGAGAGTATTGGGGCGAGCACATTTGTGTATTTCTAAATAAATTTCTAAAGTTTTGTTACAAAATTGATGTGATATTTTACATGTTCATTTCAAAGTTTTCACATTTTTATACACCTGCTCTACATGTATATATCAGTTGAAAGTAAATAGTCCCACTTTTCAAAGTTTTCTCTGTGTTACCTAATGCCTTGTCATCATATGTGTCACATCATGCAGCCTTCATTTTTCAGAAATTAATAAATTAGTACACATACATCACATGTATATGCATGGTGACTCTCATTAAATCCTTTGACAGGCCTGGACAACCGAATCCTGGCCACTGGTGGAGCCTCTCTCAATAAGGCCATTCTGCAGGTAAAGTTGAAGGACATTTAGGAATCACTGTCTAGTTAGTGGAGTATGCCAGGGCATCAATGATAGTTGGAAACATGGGATAATTTGCATAACGGGCAAATTATTTATAAATTATTCAACAATTTGAGTTATTGTTGTCACCGAACTAGACAGTAATTCCATATTAATCCATTTAATGGTGACATAAATTTCTATATTGAGATTTAAAAAATGTAGACTAATAGATTTAAATTACACAAGGTCTCCGATGTCAATTTCAGTAGTCGCTGCCACAAAGAAAAAGAAACTGCATGAGATTTACATACCCATTGGGCCTCCTTAGCTCCTGACGTTTCGCTTTGTGAAATTTACATGCCAGGCGAATGATCAAGGAATCAAATTAACCAACTTATTCCTATGACTTCTCATGTAATTCTAGGTTATATTATTCTAGGTTATATCATTCTGTAGGTTATTTCATTCATTTCATTATAGGT